GGCAGCTACACTTGGCAGTGTCCACGTGGTCCTGGCTTTAGAGTCCTGCAGGGTATACAGGAGTAAAGGGTCTGTGGAATCGTCCTCTGTGGTTAAGGAGAGCCACCAAGGCCAGGCAGTGTGTAGCAGGGTCCCTGCGAAGGCCCGGAGAGGCCATTGTGTTAAGCTATGAAAGCAAAGCCTGAGTCGAACTGGAGACCCCAAGGTGTTAGCAGTGCCGGAGCCGTGCTCACACACAGAGGGTAGAGCTAGCCGGAGAGAGACGTGTGTTGCGGGCAGCAGAGCTGGAAGACAGAGCCCATGTAAGGCTGAACGTAGAGCTACAGGAGTTTGAGTCTGTCTTGCCAGATTGGGGTCTTGTTTGGTCCGTGCTCCCTCTCCGTTCCCTAACTCCTCCCTTTTGGAATGGTGATGTAGTCTATACCATTGTATATTGGAAGTGTGTGATTTGCTTTTCATCCTACAGTTAAGAGGTTGCCTTGATTGGAAGAGATTTGAACTTTGGACTTTGTTGTTATTGTTTTGTTTTGAGATAGTGCCTCTCTACATAAGCCCTGGCTGTCCTGGAACTCACTCTGTAGACCAGGCTGGCCTCGAACTCACAGAGATCTGCCTGCCTCTGCCTCCCAAGTGCTGTTGTTAAAAGCATGTGGCACCATGCCCGGCTTGAAATTCAGACTTTTAAACAATGTTGAGACCAAAAGACTGGGGGCTTTGAAGTTGGACTAAATGTATTTTATGTTATGATATGGCCATGAGTCTATGGGGGGCAGGAAGTGGAATGGGCTAGTTGGAATAGGAAATCCCCTGTAAGTCTTGAGCTTTTGAACACGTGGTCCCAAGGTGGAAGGAAGTTTGTGCAATCTGAGGAGGTGTGGCATTGCTGAGGAAGTGTGTCAGGGGGTGGGGGGTGGGGGTGGGCTTTCAGGTCTCAGGAGCCACTCAGTCTCTGGGTTCTGCTTTCAGTTTGGAATGTGAGCGCTAAGCTGTTCTTGTTTTCTATAAGTTACCTTGGTCCTCGTGTTCTATCACAGCCATAGAAGGATAATTAATATAGACATTTTAAGCCTTGTTTCATTTTTAAAATAACCTTGAGGATTTTAGCCCCGTTTTACAAATGTAAAAACTGGAGTTAAGAAGTCAGCTTGACTAAGAGGTCAACTTCTACCTACTAATGCGCAGAGAATCACTGAAATCCAACCTACCTGAGCCAAAAAAAAAAAAAAAAAAAAAAAACCCGAAACCTACTACTGTCAGCATAATATTCCACTGTGGTTCGGTGCCCAGGGCTGTGCTTCCTGCATTGAGAAGTGTAGCCTGAAGTTCCTCCGGTCCTGTCCAGCCCGAGGTCCAGATGAGTCTCTCCACCCATGGTCCCGCAGCTGCTTATAAAATAATCATTCAGAGGCTTACGGGTACAAAGGAGTCTGCCATGCCCAGTCCCAGCCTTCCGAATACAGCCGGAGGCATTGGTGAGGTGACTCTAACCCCAATGCTGCCTCTGCTCGCTCACTGGGAGGCCTGTTGGAGAAGCCGCCTCTCCTAAGAGTTCGGGTCCCAGGCCCAGAGTAATCAGAGAGAACTTCACTTTTGTTCTTGAGTGCGGAGCCCCGAAGTTCGTCTAGTGAAACCTCTCCCAGAGCAAGGCAGATTAAAAACAGCCTCGGTGGTCAGGTCTTGGAGTTGAAGTTGGCAGAGTCACCGGAATACTTCAGGGTCTTGCTAGCGTGTGTGTGTGTGTGTGTGTGTGTGTGTGTGTGTGTGTGTGTGTGTGTGTGTGTGTGCGCGCGCGCGCACGTGCATGCCTTATGTGGCACTTATCCTGCCCTCTGGCAACCACAGGATAATAGGTGAACCTCTTCCCAGGTACATGTCTCCGTCACATCAGCACTTGGCAAGATTTGTCTGATAGCACAGACCTGAAATAAATTCTGACCTTCCCCATCTCTCTCTTCCATTCCTTGTATTCTAGTCCCCTCCTGTTTCTGTGACAAATGCCATGACCGAAAGCCGTTTACACAGTGGAGAGATTTATTTGGCTCACATTTCCTTGTCACAGTCCATCATTGGGGGGAATTGGGGGAGGAGTGTACAAGCAAGAATTTGAAGCAGAAACCACGAAGGCTCACAGGCTCACCTGCCCAGGGAATAGTGTCACCCACGGTGGGCTGGGTGCTCCTATAGCAGTTAACAGTCGCCCACATTCATGGCCACAGGCCAGTCAGTCTGGGCAGTCCCTCAATCGAGACTCCTTTTTCAGGTGACTGGACTGTAAAGTTGACAGTTAACGCTAACTAGGACGCTCAACCCTTGTCAACCTGACACAGAAACATGTCACTTTAAACCATAGCCTTGTCTCAAGAGCTTGTGTTAATATCACAATATAAATATACTACAGCTTTAAAAACCCAGTCTCTTAACTCTGGGATCCTGTAAAACTAAAAATAAGTTTCATATTTATTCCAAAAGGGAAGAACCAGGCCATAAAAATGATTAGATCAAAACCAAAACAAAATAGCAGTGTACGTCAGAAATCCTGTAGCTCGATGTCTGGCATCTGGAACTCCCTCATTGTGTAGCTTTCTGGCTCTAACGGGCTTGGGGAGTCCCACTTCTCCAGTCCCGCCATGGGCAGCAAGCACAGCTTGTCCCGTAGTTTAAGCTGGCTCCGCTAACACCTGCTGCTCTCCTGGGGTCCGTCTCTGGTCTCCTGGGGTCTCCGTCACAGCTGAGGCTGCACTTTCACCAATGGCCCCTCTGATGACTGTCCGCCGTACCAAGCTTCAGCTGCTCTCCATGACAACCTCACACCCTCAAAACCAGTCCTACCTGGACAGCGCTTGCAGGCTATTTGCCAAGTTCTACTGCACATGTAGAATACAGCCTGCCTCGCGTGGGTCAGCTCTGTGTTCTCACTGTGAAAACATAGTTTTCTTTTGTCTCAAAGAAGCGCAGAAGATTCCACTTCTTCTGCAAGAGGAGATCACTGAGCGATCACTGGTGCTGATCTTGATCACTCTCCTTGATCACAGCTGCTTTGGCAGCCCCAGCTTGCCCAGCATCCCCTTGTCCCAGGGAAGCAGAAGTTTCACCTCGGTACTGTTGCTTGGTTGTCGGTCAGCTGTTATTCTTCAGCCCCAGATGATCAGCACACACACTTTTTTAGCCAAAGTATCACACTAACGCCCTCAGTCATCAAATCTCAGTGGTTGCTTCGCTACCGTCTGAAACCCTACAGGACAGACCTCCGTTGTCCACGTGTGTTCTAAGCATTCCTACCTTCCAAGATCCCGCAAGAGTAGCCCATCACGCTGTGAGTACTCACCAGGAAGAGGCAGCCAGTCTCTGAGATCAAGGACAGCCAGGGCTACATAGACAAACCCTGTCTCAAAAGGGGTGGAGGGGGGCTTTTATTTCCACTTAATGTGTATCTCCTCTTGTCCTGGTGCCTAGCAGCCAGGTTCACAGCAACCATGCTCAGTCACACCACAGTGGCCGGTGGGATCCAAGTATATAGCCCTTTTTGCCATGGCCCAGTGCTGTTTCTGCACTTAGAAAACCAACTTGTCTTTCCAAGGTCTTGCTGCTGGGCCTCCCCGCCTACTGAGCTAACTACTTCATGTTGAGACAGTCTGGTCCTTGACATGTCTAAGATGCACTCAAGATCGGAAAACCAGGAGAATTAGTCCATACCTCTCTCTGATCCCAACTTGGGAGGTTTTAGTCAGATTTTTCTTTGGGCCACCAGCTCACAAATAAAGACATAAAACTTCTTATTAATTATGAAAGCTTGGCCGATAGCTTAGGCTTGTTCCTCACTAGCTCTTATAACTTAAATTAATGCATTTATATTAATCTACATTCTGTCACATGGTGTTACCTCTCTTCCATCTTGCATCTCCTGTTTCCTCTCCATGTCCCCTGGCGTCCCCACACACCTAGATTCCTTTTTCTACTTCTCTCTCCTTGGAAAGCCTGCCTGTACCTCCTGCCTAGCAATTGGCCATTCAGCTCCTTATTAAACCAACCACAGCACTCTATCTTCACACGGTGTACGAATATCCTACAACAAGGAGTAGAGTCAGAAGTTCAAGCCACCCTGGGTTTGTTTGTGTGTATCCAGAAACAAAGAAAAATCCACTGGGGTTAGAGAGATGCCTTAAAGGTTAAAAGCATCTTTAACTGCTCATAGCACCCAGCTCAGGTGCCTCCAACTCTGTCAGCTCTGGGGGTCCAGTGCCCCCTTCTGGCCTCCAGGGGCACCTGCACTCATATGCACATTATTAAAAATAAAATAAGTGAGGTGTGCTAGCACCTTTTTTATGTTTTATTTTGTGTGTATATGCATATGCCTGCTTGTTTGTGTGTGCACCACATCCATAGAAGTGCCCGTGGAGGCCAGAAGAGGACATCAGACCCCTAGAATTGGAGTCGCAGGCAGTGGAGCTGTGTGATGTGATGTGGATGCTGAGAATCGAACCCAGGTCTTCTGCAAAAACTGCAAGTGTGCTTAACCACTAGGCCACTTCTCCAGCCCCAACACACACTTTTAATCCAACATTGGGGAGGCAGAGGCAGGCCTGGGCTGTATGATGAGTTCCAGGCAGGCCCGGGCTATATAACCAGACCCCGTCTTAAAAAAAAAAAAATCATTAAAAATAAACAGGGATTGGAAGGTCCAGGAAGACACCACAGTCAGGAAACAGGTGGTGTTTGGATAGTGCATGGTAGAGCTTGTGTGTTTTGTCGTTGTTTACTTATTTGTGTGTGTGAGTGGGAGTGTGTGCATGCTCGTGTGTACTTGTGTGTGCAAATGCGGAAGACAGAGGACAGCTTTTGGAAGTCACTTCTCTCGTGCCGCAGGTTCTAGGAGGTGAGGTCAGGTGGTCAAGACTTGCACAGCAAAACGCTTTCTCACCTCCTGAGCCATCGTGCCAGGCATGCCCTGTTGGTTTTTGTTTTCTCTTTAAATGAACTCTTCATTGCTTCTCTCCAAACAGACAGCTACAGACAGTTCTTCTAATTCCTCTCAGAAGAGGGAGCCGCACACGAGGACAATCTCCTCCCCCACATCGTGTGAGCACCGGAGGATTTACACCCTTGACCCATACCCCATGGACCATTACCACCCCGACCAGGTGAGCAGGGGACTTCATCCCTCTGGAGACATAAGGACAGCTCCATATGGCCTTCTCCCCCTACTCCCACTCCCACCCCCACCCCCACCCCCTGCTTTCCCCACAGCCATGGTGGAGGTGTTCAGGTGGTCCCAGCTCAGCCTCACACGGCCCCTTGCCTCACCCCTGTGTGTGCTCTGCCTGCTTTTATCCAGTCACTCTGTGAGGCAGGGCATTGGCATCCCTAGTTCACAGATGAGAACATGGTAGAGCTGTGGTGCCCGGGGGAAGGCCGTCCAGGCCCCCACAGTCCTTGCACGGGGTGCTGGGCCTCCCTGTTCCTCTATCCAGAGGGCCTCGTGGCTGTGAAAGCCCAGGGCCCCAGGCCAGGAATGCTGCACCCTTGGCTTGCACCCCTTCCATGTGGGCTGCAGGCCCAGTCTTGCTCAGGGGGATGCATATAACTGCAGTCTGAGTTCAGTCATTCAACAAATATTTACTGAGTAGCTGTTTGTGGAACAGGTCCCCAAATCGTGGGGAGTAGACTGGTGCCTCTGTGGATTATGTGGCCTCTTGGCTAACTCGAAGTGAGAAGCAGCAAGTACTGGGCAGGGTGGTTTTGTTGCTGTTTTAAGATGGTTTTACTGTGTGCTTGCTCATATTGTGACATTAAAATGTTCATTTTTGAGCTGGGCATGGTGGCATACACCTGTAATCCTGAATTTGGGAGGCTGAGGTAGGCCAGCCTGGGCTACATGGTGAGTTCCAGGCTAGTTTGGGCAAAAGTGAGAGCCCGTCTTAAACAAACAGAAAAACTCAACAACAAAATACTTGATTTTAAACCAGGCCTGCAGTCCCCACGCTTAGTTGTTGCTGTGTAACACAAACACCTTAAAGTGTGTGTGGGGGGGGGGGAGCAGCTTCCAAGAGCAAGGGCCTTCACAGCCCATCCTCGTGGTGGGTAAAGTCATGGCAGCAGAAGCTTGAGGCACCTGGCCACGTTGTATCAACAGCCAGGAGAAGAAGGCTTGTGCTCAGCTCATGCTGGCCTTTTTATACAGTCCAGGATTCCAGCCCAGGGAATCTCTCTTCCCACAGTGGGTGTGTCTTCCCACCCCAATTAACTTAATCAAGACAATCCCCCAGCTGGGTGGTGGTGACACACACCTTTAACCCCAGCACTTTGGGGTGTGGGGCGGATCTCCGTGAGTTCGAAGCCAGCCTGATCTGCAAAGTGAGTTCCAGGACAGCTAGGGATGTTAGACAGAGAAACCCTGTCTTGAAAAACCAAAAGAAAAAGGAGAAAAAAAAAGATAATCCCCTACAAGGCTGTCTCCCTAATGATGCATCAAATTGACCAGTGGATTAACCATCAAGGATGCTTGTAGGATTAAGATCAGCATCTGGAACCTTATCTTTCTCACATTTGTACATCCATCTTTCCAATCAGATTAGAGTTACAACACAGGCTAGGGTACCTTGTGTGCTCTCTCTCTCTTTTTTTTTTCCCTCCCCAGGGAGTGGTGGCTCACACCTTCAGTCCTAGCACCCAGGAGGCTGAGGCAGAAACAGACAGATCTCTGTGAGTTCCAGGACATCCAGGCTTGACAGTGAGACCCTGTCTCTAAATAAACAAGCAGCTAGCGTTTGTCCCGATGAGTGCACACTATATAAAAAATGTACAGAACTGCAGTACCCTGTTAGAGGTCATCAGCTCAGCACAGGGCACCCTGAGTGCAGCAGACCTGAGCGACGCAGAAGGTGGGGATTGGAAGTGAGGCAGGACCTATTTTTTCCTCTTCACGTGAGAGTGTTGGACTTACCCACCTGTACTACTTTTTTTGTTTGTTTATTTTTCCAGACGGGTTTCTCTGTGTAGCTTTGGAGCCTGTCCAGGAACCTGTTTTGTAGACCAGGCTGGCCTTGAACTCAGAGATCTGCCTGCCTCTGCCTGGGATTAAAGGCATGTGGGCCACCACCGCGCAGCTAGATACTCCCTTTTGAGACAGGGGTCTTCCTTAGCCCAGGGTAGCAGAGAAAGACATTGAATGTACTGATCTGCCTCCATCTCCCAACTGCTGGGGTTACAGGCGAGGGCTTGGCACCTGGTCTGTGGGATGCAGGGGACTGATTGACTTCAGGACTTCCTACTTGCTTTGCAAGAATTCACCAGCTGAGCTCAAACTGCTCTTAAGATGGGCAGAACTTCCAACGAAATGGTAAAACTGCTAAACTGGGCTCTCATAATTGAGGCTCACAATGTGAAAAGCATCTGGGAGTGACAAGCTGTCCAGAAAAGATTGTCAGCTCTTCCTACAAATCTTGGAAGGGAAGGCCAGCAGATCTTTTCTTCGGCGAATCTTTGAAGGGAGGGCCAGCAGATCTTTTCTTTGGCAGCTGTCCATGGAGTCCCAGGGCTGTAACAGTATCTGGTTTTTCCCTGGACAGCGGATGCCGCGGTCCTACCCCCAGGTCACCTTCCCAGAGGATGACGAGGAAATCGTACGCATTAACCCGCGGGAGAAGATCTGGATGACCAGCGGCTATGAAGATTACCGGCACGCTCCAGTGCGCAGCAAATACCTGGATACCGCGGAGGACGCGGACTCCTACGTGCGCTTCGCCAAGGGCGAGGTCCCCAAACACGACTATAATTACCCTTATGTAGACTCCTCAGACTTTGGCTTCGGCGAGGATCCTAAAAGCCATGGCAGCAGTGTGATCAAGACGCAGCCAGCCAGGGGCAAGTCCCGACGGCGCAAGGAGGACGGCGAGCGCTCGCGGTGCGTGTATTGCAGGGACATGTTCAACCACGAGGAGAACCGTCGGGGCCACTGCCAGGATGCGCCGGATGCTGTGAGAACTTGCATAAGACGCGTGAGCTGTATGTGGTGCGCGGACAGTATGCTCTACCACTGCATGTCGGACCCCGAGGGAGACTACACGGACCCTTGCTCGTGCGACACCAGCGACGAGAAATTTTGCCTCCGGTGGTTGGCGCTCATTGCCTTGTCCTTCTTGGCCCCCTGTATGTGCTGTTACCTTCCCCTTCGGGCCTGTTACCACTGTGGAGTGATGTGCAGGTGCTGCGGCGGGAAGCACAAAGCCGCCGTGTGACTCAGTTTCCCACTTGACCCCTCTCCCACCCACAGCCACAGGGAACTTGTCTCTTGCATTACCCCTCCCCGTCGTCTCTTCCCCCCCCCCCCCATCTTCTCCCAGGCACCCTGGCCCCTTGCGACATCATTCCAAACCCTGGTAAGCTGCCACCCTGTGTCAGCCAGTACCCGTACTCTCGCGGTGTTTTGAAGAAAGGAGCCTTCTGCGTAGACGCGTGTATTTTACCAGCCTATGATCATGCTGTCTCAACCACGTGTTCATCTCCGGTCCCTCCTCCCCACCACCCCTTTCCAGTCCTAAGGAATCTGCAGTAGAAGCTTTTAGATCCGGAGGGGTTTAGAGTTGGTTTTTCCCACGAGTACCGGAGACTGTCTTTCTCCGGGTGGGGCTTGCCGGTCACCCACAAGCACGGGTTCCTCGGAGATGTGACCTAATGGTGAAACCCTAAGTATTGTAACGTGCAGCGTGGTGTTGTCTCCCGAGGCGGTGAGCTGGATGAACAAGCTTGTTACCACAGTACAATAGGGCTTTAACTCCTAAAGCCAAACTTCCCTCCTCCATGGCTGCAGTTTCTGTCTTCAGCCCATCTTCGTCCTCTGCCCCTCCCCCACCTGTGGAATTCATTCGCTGATGCAAAGCAGTTACCTTTAAAATGACTTGAATTGAGCCTTAACTTCAGATTAACGTGTGAAAAATCAGGAAAAATTCCTCAAATTGCGTTGCATCCTCTTGGACCAGGGTTAGAAAGGGGATTTTGGGTTTTTATGAGCCTGCCCAGTTTACCCCTACAATAGGACTTTTTTTTAGAATTGTGTTGCCACTTCTAAAATCCTAGCAATATTAGAATTGTGAAGTAAATTTCACTCATTATTTTGCAAACCAAGTGGATTTATTCAAACACAAACCAGTGTTTTGGGAACAAGTTCCAGTTGAAAAACACTAAAAATTGTGAATAAAACTGTAGCTGTTTCCCGCCCCTGCAACTGTTTTATATCATTCAGGGGGGCATTTTAAATACCGTCAATTAGTGGTGGCTTGCATTTTGTTTAGGCTTATGTTTTTGTTTTAATTTGGGGCTCAATTCATTTATACTTAGGAAAAAACAAGGCCATATATAAAAACCCTTCCAATGCCTAAGTGTCTTTTCTCTTGCAACTCCGCACCCACACTTGCCACTTGGGGTGCACAGATAAGGGTAGATCACCAACTGACTCTACCTGTGGCTGAGCCACATAAAAGGCTTCTAATTTGCTAGAGGAGGAAAAAGAACATTTTGTAAAATATGTTGCAAGGAATAGCCAAATCTTGAAGGAGAAAAAAGAAAAGTGGAAGTGGTTACCTATACCTAGCATAGTACAATCAGAACTTTGTGGGGATCGGAGGGGCCATGCTTTTACCGCCGACTGTTCTTCCCACCGAGACCTTTCCACGGTAATTCCCAGCGGAAGGCAGGCTCGGTCCCTTCTCCTCCTTCCCCCTCCCCCTATTGCACACAGGACATCAGTCTTCAAGGAAAAGGACTTTTTTCCAGTGTGTCAGTCATACTGGGAAAATGCTAGCCATGCTTACCTTAGTGGCAAAGTTTTCTGCTCGCCGTGACAGCCTGCCCTGTTTCTTTAGACAGATCATCAGTGTAGACAATGAGTGTGTTTCCGAGTTAGTTGGTAGACGTTTTCCTTTGTTAGGATGACTGCGTGGGGACTATCTATTGTAGAAAAGGTGCAAAGAGCTACCATCGTTGTCGAAGGGGGGGGTCTCCGTGCCAGGAGACCATCCAGACTGCCTCCAGCCAGCCTTCAGTGCTGTGGAGAGACTGCCTGTCCCCGGCCCGAGGGACTTTGTCCAAGTCGCCTCTCTACAAAGCACAACACTAATCTCCGTCTCCTCAGACCTCAGTTCAAGTGCCCCTATTTATTTCAGTGAGAACCCGCATCCCGGTTGCTTCCCGTTCCTGCCTTGGCTCTGCCCCTGCCCCTCTCCTTTCCACCCTTCTTAAGAGTTCTGCTAGTCAGTCTTACTCCGCACATCGTTTTTGGTTTGTGAAGGCAGCGGTTAAGGGCACAAAGACAGCCATGGGGACATTTATGTAAATACATTTAATTGCCACACTGCGGCTGCACAGTGTCTAGTATTTTCCCAGTCAGCTTTGCCATGCTGACGTCAATCATTTGAGAGAAATTATTCAGATTTTATTTTTATATCCGTGGTAACAAAACCTAGCCAAAAGATTTCCTGTTCTGAAGTTTCCCTGACTCCCAAGCTATTTGCTCACATTAACAAATTAAAGTGCCTGAGCATAATTCATTCACCTGTATACTAAAACCCCTGTTGTATTGATTTTTTTATAATAAGCCTTTTTACCTCTGTAAAAAATATATATAAATATATATATATATACAAGCGTATGATGTACATTTTAGTTCTTAACTTTTTTTATGGTTTCTAATATGTATGACCAACGTAGCCATTGCTTTAAAATGTACCGTGTAAATATAAACACAACCTATCAGACCGTTGGCTGTGGGTATTTTGTCTGACTGGAGTCCTCACGAAGGGTGGGATGGGACCATGGATCGGTTTTTATGAGGTTCTTCCCCACAAGCACTCCTCAGAGAGGCTATACTTTCTCTGAGCTGTTTTCCACTCATCCCTGCCGAAGCCCCGGCAGACGGAAGCGGGGTGGGAGACAGTTCTCAGAAGACAATGGTCCCAGGGCATCTCCCCGGCCCACTTTCCAAATGGATCTTTTGGATGCCACAAAGCTACAAGGCGGTCCCCAGGAGAAGATAAAATAGCCGTTTTGAGGGTTAGAAGAGAAGAGGCTTCTCCACAGAGTGGTAAAGAGGTATACGGACCACCCCACACACACTCGGTTCTTTTTCTAAGTTCCCAAGCCCCGGCGAGGTCAGATACAAGGTGGGTGCTAAAGCGTTAGGAAACGGGAGGGTCTCTGTGCCCCACCCACCCCGGGTGAGCCCGTGTGGGGGAAACATCATAAGACCTCTCTTGACCTTCTTTGTCCCTCCCGGTGTTCGACAGCCAAGAAACCAAAGTAAGAATGGGAACTAAGGTGAACTCCATAGTCACACGGCAGGGCCTGGCCAGGCTGGCTAGGGACAGACCCCAAGTTCTTAAGGGGCCTTGTCCCAAGCTTCTGGGTCCCTCCCTGCTTGGAAAGTGAACCGCGGACTGACTAGGCCACCCGCCCAGGCTGCCTCAGGAATGACACAGGGATTCAGTACCAGGAACGAGGCTGGCTATGAATCTCACTTTGAGGCTCCACAAAATGAAACATTCATGCTCACGTCACACGAAGGAGGCCCATACATGTGATGTCGCTTGGTCACAGTAGTCTGCCATCACCAGCCACTTGTCCTCAGGCAGATGACTACTCTTTAAGTTTCATATTTATGCTTGAAATTTTACTTTTTTATTTTTATTTGTGTGTTGGTGTAAATATATGCAAGATGCCCTGGAGCTGGAGTTACAAGTGGTTGTGAGCCACCCAGCGTGGGTGCTGGGAAATTGAACTCAGCCCCCAGCCGCCTTTTTAACCCATCATCATTTCTGCCCCTCCCACTTCTGTTGAATTTATTCAGTGATGCAAAACACTCACCTTTAAAGTGACTGACACTTACTGAGCCTTAAACTTGAGAGGATGGGCTGAGGCAAAGATGACAAAAAACAAAACAACAACAAAACCCCACTCGGGTTAACGGCGCTTGCTGCTTTCACAGGACCCCCGCTTCGGTTCCTAACACCCACCCACGTGAAAGACCACTTTTTTTTTTAAAGACTTATTATGTATACAGTGTTCTGTCTGCATGTTTTACCTGCAGGCCAGAAGAGGGCGCCAGATCTCATTACAGGTGGTTGTGAGCCACCATGTGGTTGCTGGGAATTGAACTCAAGACCTCTGGAAGAGCAGCCAGTGCTCTTAACCTCCGAGCTACCTCTCCAGCCCCCTTCTCACTCTGTCTTGAAAAAACAAACAAACAAAAAAGTCGGAGACAGGAGGATTGCTTTGAGTTCAATGTCGGCTTGTACTATATAGTGAGTTCAAGGCAACCTGAGCTCAAGGCCAGCCTTCCAGGAAGCCTACGGGAGGGAGAGATTTACATAGAACGGGACTGCAGGCTAGCAGGGGCCTTCTCACAGTGGAGGTCTGTGAATAGAGACACATTTAGTCCTCATCAGCTAGTCACAAGATGCTCTGTACCCCTGCAAATCTCAGAACAGGTCACTATTTCCTGGGGCCGTCTCTCTGATTGGTTTCCCCTTTCTGCTCCGTCCGTTCCGCGTCGACAGGCTGGAGCAGTGGCTGTCCAAAGAAAACAAACCTCAGCCCACTTGTGGGAAACGGGCCAGGTGAGGTGAGACAGGGTGTGAACTCTGGCTTGACAACGGGTACTGTGGGTACTGTTACCCGTGCCCTCCATGGCGGTTCCGTAATGTGATCCACGGGAGGCAAATCACTTCCTTGGTTCCTTGTTTGTTCTGGGCCCTGAGGGAGGATCAGCCACTGGAAAAGGCCACTTCACTTGCTTCAAGGCACCGAAGGCTGAAGCATGTGGTGGGCATTTTGTAAGTCCATCCGCAACTTACTCCGTCCTTTTTCTAACTACAATTCTCAGTTTGGTTACCCTTCCAAATATCCTAACAGCCAGCTGCTGCCCGTAGAGGTATATAGCTGCTGCCTGCAGAGGTTCACACCTGGCTGGATTCTGGGCAGCCAGAATGTGCAACGTGGAAAAAGGCAGTGGCCTTTGTCTAAGCCGTCCTGTGGAGAGAGCTTGTCCCAGCTCAAAGGTACTTGCTCAAAGGGCCCTGTCTGCCAGAACTCAGGACATTTGTGTGGACTCTGGGGTGCTCTCCCCCAAGCCAAGCCTCTGCTCCTCTTCCATGATGTTCTTCCAGTGAGGTCGCCACTGCTCCACCTCCCCCCCCCCCCCAGTGGTGGACATCTATCCCCAAAATTAGTCCATTTCCAAAGGGAAAAGCATGGGCTGTGAAGCCTTGTTTAAGGGACCCCGCGGGGCAGTTTGCTATTTGTCACGGAATGCAAGCAGGCTTGTAAATGGACACCAGAGCTTGTGAAATCACCCTTGGCTACAGGCGTTTTTACTGCAGGCCTTTTGGAATGAGATGGTTATCTGACCCACACTTGGTGGCCTTTGTTTTCCTGTGTTGGGAGTTCTGGAGCCCAAACCTAGGGCCTTCTACATACTGAGCTCCCACAGCTCCACCCCAGCCCCCATGTGTTTAGGCCTAAACCAGATGCTTGAGACGAAGGGACTCACCCTGCCACACAGTGTCTGGCCTCAGCGTGCTTTACATGACCTCTCAATCTTGCGTCTCTCCTGTCTTGCACTGCCAAGCTCTGCAGCCCACTTGGGGGAGAGCAGCCCTGCACCCGCCACCCCCAGACCATGGCTTCTGTGTGCCAGCTCTGGGGAAACACCTTCTGAGGCAACTGCTTTTGAGGCTCAAAGAACCTCTTTAGCTGACTCTTTCTTCCTTGAAGGAGACTTGGAGATGCACAGGATGGAACCTCCGAAGGGTGTGGTTTGCCTTCAAGACAGCCTCCTGTGGTCCCAGTGCAGAAGGCCAGGTTTCGCTCTGCTGGTGCTAATCTCTTTAATGGTTGAGTTGTCTTTAACCCTGCTCCCCTTTCCTCCAGGAACAGTGAGTGCTATATGCCTGACTGTGGATGTGATGAGCTGAGTGGATTTCCAAAGTGCTTTCTTCTCTTCAGCTCTCTGATCCAAAGTTACAGGAACTAATGACAGGGAGAGCCAAGTGCGTGCAAACTGCAGTGGTGGAGGGCGTAGCTTGAGGTAGGACTTAGCTAGTGTGCCTAGGAAATGGGTACATTCCCCAGCACAGAACAGACAGAACTGTGGATGCCTCATACTGTTCCTCTGTGCCAGACAGGGTGGCACCTACCCTTAATTCCAGCACTCAGGAGGCAGAGGCAAGTGGATTTCTGTGAGTTTGGGGCCAGTCAGTTGGAGGTCTCACTGCATAGAGTGAGACTTGTCTCAAAAAAAAAAAAATTTTTTTTTCCAATGGTGGTGATGGCACACGCCTTTAATCCTAGCATTTGAGAGGCAGAGGCAGGCAGTTCTCTGTGTGTTCGAGGCCAGCTTGGCTTACAGATCAAGTTCCAGGACAGCCAGAGCTGTTACACAGAGAAACCCTGTCTCAGGGACAAAAAAAAAAAAAAAAAAAAAAAAATTCTTAATTAAAAAATTAGTAAAGTGAGTCTAATAATTCAAGGAAGACAGACTGCCAGTATGTAAAATTCAGACACTCAAACACATATCTGAGTTTGAAAAATATGCTTGGCAGTTGCCCAGTAGATTTTCCTCATGATTAATGGAAAATTCGGTTAATGAACATTCTCCGGCCCTCTGCTCGTGACCTGTCTTTGGTCAGAGCTATAGTCATTTTGCATGTGAGTGTGAGGCTTCCTGGGGATCTGACTGGGATGGTGCCCGGCGTGTCAGGTGAACAGTAGGAGGAACTGAGATGTCTCCGGGCAAGATGGCTTCTCTGCAGATGTAGCATAATGCTTGCCCTAATCTCTGTCCCCAGGAGGCAGAGTCTGGAGGATCAGAAGTTCAAGGTCATTTGAGTTCAGCCTGAGCTAGATGAGATCCTAGCTTTAAAAAAAAAAAAAAAAATTAAAAATTGGGGGCAGGGTTATAGCTCAATGGTAGACGAACACCTGTGTGATTTCACTCCTGAGCACCACTAGGATTGGGGGGGGGAGGGGACTCGTGCGGGCGTGGGCGCGCACGCAAGCGCGTGTGGTGTGTATGTGTCTAATATATAAAATAATGAAAATGAAGTGGGTAAACTCTCAGAATAGCTGCATCATTCACTGTACCGTTTTCTGCCAAATGGCCAAAGTATGCAGCTATAAGCTTATATGTGTGCAAAAGATCCATTCAGAACAGAAGACACAGATTTGATGTGACAAAATAATGTTCTCAGACTCTACCACACAACTAACCTTTAAGAACTGTTACTTGTGAGTTTTGGCATTGTACCAAAGAACTAGCCACAAGATTTCAAGAAGTTATTAAAATCCTCATACTAACCAGACTTCGTGGCACATACCTTTAATCCCAGCACCTGGAAGGCAGAAGCTGGTAAATCTCTGAGTTCAAGGGCAGCCCAGTCTACATAACAAAACAGTCCAAAAAGAAAAACAAAAAATAAAACACACACACACACATCTCCTTACCTCTCCCATAACAGATCAGTCTGAGGTCAGATTTTCTCCATAAATGTCATCAAAATAACACCACAGGGGCTGGAGAGATGGCTCAGCAGCTAAGAACACTTTCTGCTCTTGCAGATGACCCAGATTGGGTTCCCGGCACATACTAGTGGGTCACATTGACCCATAACTCCAGTTCTAGGGAATCTGATGCCATCTTCTGGCCTCCACTGGCACTACTTGAGCATGGGTGTACATACATACATACATACATACATACATACACTT